CTGCCTTCCCATGGCCGCGTGGGACCTGCTGCTTGGGGCAGGAGTATATGTGTGTATATATATATATACATATATATATATATAAAACATCAATATATGTTATATATTTATATATTTAAAAGCTTTGTGGGGAGAGTTTTGGAGAGGACTCCTTGTCAGGCAGCAGCTCCCAGTGAGATTACAATGAGCTGAGATAACAACAGTGCAGGCTGCGGGGTGTTGGTGGCCTTTACCTGGGGCCAGAGCATCAGGGTTGAGGACTTTGCTCATCTGCAGGACTTTCTCTGTCTTCTTGGGCACTTTGGGGGGGCCATCCTGGGGCGACGCTGCCACATGGAGCTCGGAGTGATAACTCTCCTGGCCCTCGGGGTCCTCCCCTGCCTGCCAAGGGTGAGAGTCAGTGGGGAGGAACCGCTCCCCCAGTGGGAACTGGGGAGGCTGTTGGAAGCACCTCAGAGCTTCCTCTACCTACTCACCATCCACTCATTCACCATTCCCTCCGGATTGCCTTTCTCAGTGTGGTGTGAGCGCCCTGGTCCCTGGAGCAGTGGGGGGCAAGGGGAGGGATTAGTAGGTGCAGAGGGGGGGGCTGGCACCCTTGGTCCTCCCTGGATGCTGACCCTGATACCTGCCCATCTCCATGCCCAGCCCACCAAGCCACCTCTGCTCTCCTTTCACCTCAGTGTAGTGGGCAACTGAGAGGACCCCCCCTTTACCCCATGAGGTGGGGAGGGCTGGGAGTGGGGGCTGAGCTACAGACCCACCTCCCTGTAGCTGCTGGGGTGCTCGAAGACAAAGCGCTGCATCCGCCTCTGGCGCTGCTGGAACAGCTGGGAGCCCCGGTTGTTGCGCAGGGAGAGCTCCTCGATCATCAGGTCCTGTGGTGTGCTCATCTTCTTGCCCAGGATCAGCTGGGGCACTGGGGAGGCCAGGGGAGAGCACAGCCACAGCTGAGGCGGCTGCTGTGCTGGGCACCCCCATGCCTGGCACAAGGACAGCATGTCCCCTCACCAGGGTCCCTGTCACACATGCCCAGGGTCTGGAATTTCCTCAGTGGGAGGAATTGTCAGGGAGTTATGTCAGCTCCAGAGGTTCTCCTCCCCACAGACCCTCCAGCCTTTGACACGGAATTGCTGCCCCCTGGGGCTGTGGTGGGAGAGGGGACCAAGAAGGCAAGCACAGAACCCTGGGGAGAGGGGCCAGTGGCCTCAACCAGAGCTGGTCCCTAGGCAGGAGCCGCAGCACTGCCCTGGGACTGGTGGTACCCCCAGCCCCCCTTACCATCTTCAGGGCCCGATTTCATGATGGTCATCACTTGCTGCCACACTCCTGGGGCAGCTCTGTCAGAGAGGGATGGATCCTTCCCGGCTGGAAGAGAGAGGCAGCCCTGGAGTGATGCCAAGCATGGGGACATGTCAGCCCCAGGCATGCCATGCGGAGAGACCGGGCTTCAGCTGAGCATTCCCCCTGGCCAGCACTGTCCCTGAACATCATCCCCATGCTACTCTCCATTCCCTTCAATAGGTGTAAGGAAACGTCCAAAGTGTTTCACTTCTCAGCCCCTGCTTGTTATCTTTGCTCTATACCTTAATTTAGGGCAGAAGATGTCCCAGGTTCTGTCCTTGCCTGCAGCCAGCGGGTGCCCTCATGTCCTGAGCCCTCTCGGAGCAGCACCCACTGCCCACAGTCTGCCCTGCCTGGCCCCTTCCTGCTCCCCCAGCACCTCTCCCTCAGCAGAGCTATTTTCAGCCACTGGATCCAAGGGTGTGGGAGCTGCAGCCCTGACCCTGCAGGGGACCCGTGAGCCCAGCCAGCCCAGATGGGGTGCAGGGTCACTGTCCCCACTTACAAGGCTGGGTTCCTCCTTAGCTTTGAGCTTCATTGCCAGGAGGTGGCTGGGGATCAGCCCCGTTCTGAGCCCCCTGAGCTGCCCCCCTGCAGCTGCAGCCTCTGGGGCTTTCAGCTCAGCAAGTGTGAGGCTTGGCCCTGTTTGGAGGATCTCACATTCTCCAGGTCAGGCTGATGCTCTGCAGCTTCCTCAAGAGCCCTGGAGAGCCGGGGGTCCCTGCGGGGCCACGACCACCTGGCACAAAGCTCCCTGCCAGCTCTGACGTCCACACTAACCTGGGACCTGCACCTCATCCTTCCCTCAGTCCCCCTCCAGGGACCTTTTGCGTCCCATGGGAGACCACCCCCTGACCCCCACAGTGTCCATGTCCCCACCGCCAATGCTGGGATGTCTATAAGCCCCATGCACCCACCCGCCCATTGACCCCAGTGTGGCACCTCACCTCCACCTGACCAAGGGACACCCCAGACTCCAGGGACTGAAGATGATCTCCTGCTGTGCTGAAGCCAAGCTGTGGCCACCAGTGCTGGGTGGTCTGGCTGGCCCTCTGCAGCACCCCTGGGCTCCCTGCCTCTTGCCCAGACCCGTGCTGGGCTCCAGCCCAATGCCAAGGTCTGGCTGTGGGACAGCAGTTATTTCTGGCTGAGAAAGGGGGAGGAGCAGGGCTGACCCTTGGGGACCGTGACACCATCACCCTGGCACAGAGCAAGGCTGACCCTTGGGGACCAGGAAACCACCATCCCAGCACGGAGCAGGGCTAATCCTTGGGTTCTAGGACACTGTCACCCTGGCGTGGCAGGACCTGACCCTCAGGGCCAGGATGGTGGCCGTGCAGCAGCAGCAGGAGGTGGCCACGTGTCACATGTGCCCAGGGGGATGGATTGGCAGCAGGCAGGGTGGGATAGCGGCAGTTTATTTCTGAGCTGGGTTACAACCGTGTGGCAAAGGTGGGTCATGGTGGCCAGTGGGGGGCGAGGGGGGGTTGGAAGTGTGTGTGCTGCAGGGTGGGGGGACCCTGGGGGACAGGGCTGGGCTGGCTCTGACAGTATGTCCTGTGGAAAGAGAAGGGGTCCCAACCCCGACAGCCCAAACACATCCTCCTTTCTTGGTGCTCCTACTCACCCCTGGGGGGGGGGTGGAACTAGTGCTTTGGGGACCCATCACCCTCCTGGGCACCCACTGTTCTCCTCAGGCTCTGCCATGTAACTGTGTCCACCCTGACCCCCTACTCTCCCCACCAGCACCAGCCTCCCTCCGACACAGCTGCCCTCAGGGGCCCTCTGCCCACCCCCAGCCCCTTGCAGGGCTCCCATGGGGACACCAGCTTGTTTCCAAGACGCTCTCAGCATCACCTCCTGCACTGACACCTCCTTCAAACCCTCTGCAACCTGTAATGTTTCCTTCACACACCCCCCCCCCAGCTGCCACAACACCCACCAGTTCCCCTTTGTCCCTCCATCCCGCAGGGGTGGGGACAGGGATAGGATGAGCCTGAGGCTGGGGACAGGATGCAGGGTGGCTCTTTGCTTAGGTAGGGTGGGAGGGCACCTGAAAACAGTCCCCCTGATGTGGCAATAAATAACTTTGGCTCCTTTTTTTGGTTACCAGGGAAGGATTTGGGGGAATTTCTTTGAAAATGGATCAAAAGTGAAGGGGGGGGGGGAAAGCCAAGGAGGAAC